GTGACTCGAGTTGGATGGCCTCCCAACCTGCAGTTAATATTTAAGTTGTATTAACTACCATCTTATTCAGGTGACAAGCTAGAATAAATGCTCTCAGTGGACAACTGTATACATTAGTACGAACAAGCTGCAAAAGTAAAAGGCTGAACCCATTCCGAATGCGCTTGTCCAAAATATTCAGTTTATTGATACTCGTTGATCGTGTATGACGTTGTAGAGAATCGGCAAACCATTTGATATTGAATGATCTGTCTGCTAGATAACCTATCTGGTGCCCGGTGAAATTCCACTGGTCCTGTAATACGCCCACGCGAGATTAAAGTGCCGTCTGACTCAGTAGCAGACATATTGAGGATAATCGCTTGCCAGAGGTTTCCAAAGGATTTGTAGCGATAAATAAATCTCCAAAACAAATGGTCCTATAAGTCTTTGGCATTGATGCTGACCGCGTTGGTTTTACTTGATACATCTAACTGAAGAGGCTCGATCACGCATACACACAATTCCGCGGGTGGGTACGCCTTTCAAGTTTTATCCAACTTAGACCAAGGGCTTCCCGATATATAAATAGCCTTCTCAATATATATTCGAACCACTGCATTTCTGACTTCTGAGGCGACTGGGTCGGTATATTTCGATTATGAAGGTGTTACGGGTAATTTTTTGTCAAACTCAGAATACCTGTGACATCTCTAAATTCATAAGAATCCTCTGGATACCGATAAGCTATATGATTAATCGAGAGGAGTCAGCTGATGCAAATCGGAAAGGAGAGTGATAATAAGTCTAGGAATCTAGGATATGTAGAGGTGCTTAATAGAGACTTACAAGTTGTTTGAAAGTAAAGCACTTTGCAACGAAAATAATAAAGCACGACATATTTTCTTAAATTTTTATCAAGTAGTGCTAAAATCGATTGCATCGATAAGTGACTAAGTTCCTAATATAGACAATATGAAATTGTTTTTAGGTACAATGATGTTGTGAACAAACACTCACGTTGAGTAATTCAATTTAATGTTGAATGAACAATCACATAATGGTTTGGTAAAATGTTAAAATCACACATCAAATACACAACTCACATATCTTACAGTTGCTCCTTACATCCTTCATGATTCTTCCAACCTTGTTTTTATTCTGATTTTTTTGTTCTTTTGAGTTAAATCTTCTCAGTCGTCTTTTGAACAGGGATTCTACTTCAAACTGGTGTTACATACTGTTACATCAATAAGTTGGAAGAAATCTTACTGAGTTAGCCCTTTTCTTACTACTAAGTCTTTAGAGCAACACCGCTTGGAGCCCCTTTGTGGTCACCGCCGGTTCCAAGACCGGGTAAAATAGAAGGGTTGTGCATGGGGTTGGCGACCACACCTCGCTCTTTCCATTTCACCCATCAATACTTGAAACAGCTCCATTTAATTCCAAAAACAACATTTGTCTGGAATGGACGAATGATTTTAGGGACATCGTGGAAGTTTAGATATATATTGGACCTAATAAACACTGACCATCCTTAGCTCGGTCGAGCGCCACATTTAGTTTTGGTGGTTTCTCACGCTTATTTGGAGTCTCAAGTATGGTTAGGCTAAACGTACTTGCTGACGCCCTAAAGTCCATATGCAACGCTGAGAGAAGAAAGAAACGTCAAGTCCTTATCCGGCCATCATCAAAAGTTATTGTCCGATTTCTACGAGTGATGCAACGAAAGGGTTATATAGGAGAGTTTGAAATTGTTGATGACCATCGCGCTGGAAAGATTGTGGTACAGCTAAATGGACGTCTAAACAAATGTGGTGTAATCAGCCCGAGATTCGACATGGGTGTGCGGGAAACTGAAAAGTGGACCAGGAACTTACTACCTTCTCGTCAGTTCGGGTATGATCTAACTTGGTAATATATTCTGTTTTTAGTTATCTTGTACTTACGACAAGTGGTGGGATTATGGATCACGAAGAAGCTCATCGGAAACACCTAGGTGGTAAACTGCTTGGATTTTTCTTCTAAATAAAATCTGTCTAACGGATACAGCCTTTTTAGTGCTAATCACAATCCATGGCTTGTCAAAAAGCACCGTTTTCTAAGACCTAGAACTGCGTTCACTGTCCTAATTACATGGTTTTGGTTGCCAGTCTTTCACTGACGCACATTTAGTTAAATCCTTAGACGCAGCTGTTGACATCTTTCGGGATACTATCAAAAATGTGTATTTGTCAAATTCGCTAAGTATAAAGCCTGCAAGTCCCTTTTGGCAAACCGTATGGCATAACATTTTATAATCATTTGGGACATGAATCGCGCTTGCTCGCCAGCAGGAATTTGAAATGGCTCTAATGTGTCTGAATAACTTCTAGAACTTCATTTCACTAAAGCATTGTCTCGACTCACTGTTAACAAGCTTGAGTCTTTTATGTTTACTTCTAGAGTAGTCATTGCAATTTGATCCTTTGGGACGTCATTTGATAAAAATATGTTTTGAGCGGTTTCTCGATATAGAATTTCCACCCTACTTATTGTAAATGTTAACCTGAACGCACATATATAGACTCTGGGATTGAAAGTTGTCAGTGTTCTGCAGTATTTCGCTGGTTCCCACATACACGACGTAATCAACCGTAATTAGTGTCTGTTCACTACTTAATAGTGCGTTGGGTCTCCCTATGAGTGCTACATCAGGATACACTGGACTTAGTTTAAGGTATGTCGCAATATGTCATTAACTCTTGTCGCGTCTTAAGGTCCTTCGTCAACCTTGATGACTAGGTTGTCTACATTGGTAATCTAAGATATTATTGCAATATGGGACTTGTATGATTTAGGGTCATTCTGAATTTAAGATCTGTGTACAAATGTGTGTGGCCTTGTATGTGTTTTCTAATATATTTCTCATCTGTGCTGGTGTCTTACGGTTATCCTCGCTCATGAAGTTTGTGATTTTTGGTGTTGTACGCATTGTTACATAGCCCTAGTTATTTGCAAAGTAAGAGCAGGGTTTGTGTGGATAGACTACACTATGTGGAACGAGACCTATTGAACAGCCTATGATTTATAATATCGGCTAGTAAACAGCCCAGTTAGAAAGTTCCCCATTAGTTATATCACTGCAGAGCGACTTTCCTGGTCCAGATACATAAATTATCATTCTACTGACAAGCATGTAGCAGGTTGATAACAGTAATTAAGACATTTATAGGACTAATGTTGACGAAAGTACTTCTCAACCATCGCCATTTTCTGTGTTGTAATATTTCGAGTGTTTTCTGAAAGCTAAATTATGTATAATTTCATATGTTCGTTCAGAAACCAATCTTGTTTACTAAGGTTGAGTGATAGCGTATAGAACTGGGAGTTGCGTTTAAGCTTTACTAGTAGTAATTCACGCTCGGGAGCCTCATCCTTTTTCGCTAGTTTATAGTAATTTATGAAACCAATGGTAGGGACAGAAAATGCAAATTTATTTCGTGGAAAAGAGCTTGGTGGTTGCATTCGAGTTTGCATTACATAGCTCTTGGGAACCAGAAAGTTAACAAGTCTTTGGTCTGAAATCAACATGTACTAGTGCTTGAACTGATAAGGGACACTTTTAACCAACCACTTCAGATGTGAACAACTGTGCTCACAATGTTAATCTTATCGTATACAGTGGTGCTACAAGCGCACTTAGCTTTCGGTTAGAAACGAAGCATTTCTATGGATATAAGTAAACCAATCTTTGTTTAAGTGTTGGAGTTACTTTATCGATCTCGCCATGCTGTTCAAACTTCAGCTTCACCCTTACTGATCTTAGAAACAAGTGATTGCCAGAACACTTGTTGAAACTTAGTCATCACAGTAACGTAGTAGTTTAGCATGTTGGATGCTTATTTATGTGACTGATTGAGAACTGTATACTTCGCAACCCTTATCCACATAACTTGGTATCTAACGGATCATAGCTACTTTCACTAGAAATTAAACCAGCGTAATACAAGTGGCATATTCCGACAGAATCCACGAATCCTCCGACAGAACTGAGGATGAGAAGGATTCACCACCTCTCGAGGTGCTTACGTACGAGCGCAGTTTTATGATTTCTCTCAGAGAAATCCTAACTAATATCTCCACATATTGAGTGTCCACAAAAGATAAGACGTAATCAAATACCTGGCACTCAAGTCGGGTTAGCTGGTACGATTCACGTTGACCCTAAGGTCCAAAAAGAATCAGTGACGTGCGGATAAACTTAGATTACTACCTACTGTGGGATCGCAACTCTTGTTTCTAGTCTACCTTGTGGATTAGTTCTTTACGTCATAAGTTCGGAGAGGGAGGTCCCCTGACAAAGACGTCTGATTTAGTTTGAACTTCTTAGTAGCATCTGAACTCTTGTGTATATGAGAATAATTATGACTGTTCCGCATCTATCCCTTTGTGGTATTATCACTCCACTCTGTGTATGGCACTTCTAGATGGACTATTGTACCAAAATTTGTATGTAGTCAGTTGGCAGCGTTCATAGGTACGGCATGTAGAGATCAGTTGTGTCGGACACTTATGGAGGTGTGTGTTAATTACCAAACAAATCCAGAAGCGTTCACTTTCATATGTTAGATTATAAAAAAACATTTGTTGATGCTACTCGTTTATTCAGGACAACAATTGTGATTTATAAACCTCTGACCAACCACCTAGTACAAATCATACGGAGTTATATCACTCACTAGGTGGGTCGATATGATGTTTTGTCTAATTCCTATTGTCTTACCAGTTGACAGATAGTTTCACTATGGAATATCAAGAAGATAGACAAGAGCTGGTTACATTTTCAACATCGTATAAAACAATCATTTGGTATAGAAATCACAAGAATATTTGTACACCAACACCTATAGGTCATCCATTTATATTTTCCAATATCATCGTAGATAAACCAAAAACCAGATTAGTCTACATACTATCTTTTCTTCCCACTAGATGAGCGCACTACTTTTTAAAGTCAAGGAAGTCACAAAACAATGATTAAGTTAAATATCTGTATGAAGTTTTCATTAGACAGAATGGATATTAATCCGTTTCCCACACCATTATAAAAAAAAGAGATACGTTGAAAATTTATTTACACTCAACGTGAAACTAGAGCTGGTGAAACGAAAGATTAAAAAAAAACTTGTTTTAAACGTTAGTAGAAATTAATAGACATTTCACATGGACATTACATTTTACTAACATCTTTGGGATAATAAATATGATACAATGGGGTGAAGAAATCATCAGTAATTTATATCGTATAACGGATGATAATATTTAGTGTTTGAGAATTTATACGAGTTAATCGTGAATGCATTAAATTGAAAAATATACTTTGTACAGAAAAAGGTCATGACTTTTTTACAAGGTAAAAACAGCGATATCTGTCGACTTCCCATCAGTATAAGGATATGGTCTTCCGTGAACCTTACATATATGTTCTACAGCTCGGCGATAAGCTTTCGTTACCTGGTAAATATGTGTGAATTAAAGCTATATAGTATTTGAAAAAAGTGAAATTCAACTTACAATAACATTAGGTTTTGTAATCTAAATAGCAGTCCATTTTAATTAACGCATGACGTATCCCGTAGGAAACTAACTCATTAAAAATTGCTAACCAGAAAAAACATTTCAAACCATTTGGACTCTGCCCTGGGATTTAGTAGGTATTCACTTAGAAGAGTTATGACGCCTCATGGTGGAAGTCAAGTCAGGAGGTAGATGCCCCTTCTGACAACCAGAGTAAACATTAATTTAGGTACATAGAATGCTCGTACAAGGTGGGAGACCGGGAGAGTCATCCAAATAGCTGCAGAAATGAATAGATACAACCTGGAGGTGCTTGGAATTAGTGAAACACATTGGAATCAGTATCATTAGTGTGTATCGGTTCAAGCTGGCAAATAAAATACCCCGTTTGGGTCCCACTCTCTTGCTATCATTTGTATTCTTTGTCTGTATGAACCCAATATATGCAATTTCAACAATATGTAAGTAGAGGGGAGTGTTCATGCATAATATGAAATTATTACACCTGAATAAATAAAGTGCAACATATGACGAAAGATTTCTCAATTCAAAGAAGTGTTGTACTTCTATATGCAGTATTGATTACAAGATTATTAGTCAGCCGCTAATAGACATTTACGATAACATCCGAAACATTGTGCCAGGACCTATATATTCCTTGAATTAATAAAAGTAGGTAAACATACTTCATAAATAGGATCTTCTTAACGACGAACCTACTATGAAAACTAGTTCACTTTGTCCTAACCAGGAAGCTAAGTGTTGGCAATCATACAAAGAACCGTAATGTTTGAAGAATCATGTAGTTAATTATAGTGATGATGTGCAGAATTTGAGAGTTAAGATACAAGAGGAAGAAATGAATTTTCACAAAACGATGCACTGCCGAAACAATATTAAAGGATTCAATGTGAACTCTACACAAAAATAGCCATTACGAATTGATCTATAGTGTGGTAAAAAAAAATAATGTTTAATAGCCATATAAAAGATAATAGATCAACATAATGATATATTTGGGAATTATTATTCCGTTGTCTTAATTAGTTACAGTAATATCTACTGCTAACTTTCCAGTTATTTTGTGGATAATTATGTGAAACTGTGGTAATTAAGGTAACATACTATTTGACCGAATTCTACAATGGTTAATAAGTTAGTTAAATAGCTTTTGAAATGACACTATATCACGGTATTTTGATAGTAAGAAGTTTGGGAAATCGAATGTTAAACAACTCTTCAACAGTACAGTCTAAAACTATTCACAAGAGCACTGGTGAAGTTACTTTTTATTTTCAGCGACAACATATGCATCTTTTGTTTATGTTGGGATATTCAGGAAAATATCCCAAAAATTATCCTGTTAAGCCTAATGCTATCCTTGGACATGAAATGGTATCATCTTATTGGTCAATATTTGTTTAACGTGTCATTTTCCTACTGGCCATCATTGTACAATGTTATTTTCTATTTTATGGTACGTTGTGGTCTGCTTGACTGGTATATAAACAAAGTATGTTTGAAATATAATGATTCATATATCCGAGGCTGTGACTTGTGTTCTGGACTTAACTGGCTGGGTTAGACAGGGAAGCGGGACCAATCAGAACCCTAGGCCGTTCTACGTGTTTGCGCGTCTTTGGTCCGGTCAATAATTCGCTACCCTTAATCCGCAGCATTTTTCAGTTATAGCAGTTTATCATTAAATTACCATGCTAAGTAACAGACAAATTTAGACAATATTTACTTTCAGTTTCAAATAAGTAAACCAACCTAGATATTCATTCATAATAATTGATTATCTACGAAGAGCATCCAGTAAATAAATAAATTTATTCACATTATGACAACAACTACCATTAACTTACTGAATGCTTCATTTTACTTTTTCTTCCTTCTCGTAGTCTTTCATAATCGAGTTCTTTATTAATTCCAAGAGGTTGCAGTTTCTGAGGACTAAGCCATTGCCATGTACGCTTTGTATCAAAGAATAGAACTAATAAAAGTTCTAAATCATCAGTGGATTTATTAGAGGCTATTCGTTTGCCCCATTTTAACACTGACTCCGGAGGTAGGGGGATAGGAACACCATTGTGAGAATAACCTTCATTAGCATCTGGATCTACAATCTGTTATTTAAAGAAAAAAGTGTCCAAACAGTGAAAAGAACTTTCATGACTTACATTTACTGGTGTGTAACAGTATTCAGTGAAATAAAATAACATTTAGTTGACTCAATTTGAGAAGTTATTAAGATCTGTTTATAAAATACAACATAAAAATGTGTATAACAAATAGTCAGTCAGTCAGCTACAACGTAGGACCAGGCACATATGTGCATCGGTCCAGGTTGCCATACCTCATTAGCACAACAAGATGAACACCGGATTCATAGGAGTGGTTAGGTCAAAGGTTGCAATAAGGATATAGTATAGGAAGGAAGAATTAGTTCGTAGAAAGAAAGATATGAAGTGATTTAATCTCTTAGTTTAAGGGAAGACAGGGAGTGTATACACCGACGCCATTGTGATCGATTCTGAGCCATGTCACCAAGAGTCTCCAACCATTGGTTACGATAGTCACGCGGATCCCAACCAAGTAGTCTGCATCTACCAACATGGCTCAGACTAGAAGTTAGTGACTTCAAGCACTGATGCCACGTTTTGGTTTGGCCGCCACTAACTTTCTTCCAACCAACCCCTACACCGGTTAGCATTGCACGTCGTGGTAATCGGTGTTCAGGCATACGTAACACGTGGCCCAACCATCTCAGTCGATGAAGATTCATAACCTCATCAACTGATTTACCATCATTCCCTAATACCCTGCGTCTAACCTCACTATTACTTACCCGGTGATCCCAGCAGATGCCAGCAATATTTCTAAGGCATCTGTGCTCAAATACTTGTAGCTTATGGGTGTCTTCTACTCTTAATGGCCATGTTTCGCTGCCGTAAAGTAAGACAGAACGGACTGCCACGCAGTATACTCGTCCTTTTATTGATAGACGGATATCTCGCCTCCGCCAAAGGTGACGTAAGTTGGCAAAAGCCAAACGAGCTTTTCGAATCCGTGCTGAGATTTCGTCAGACACCAACCCATTAGGGCTGATCAGACTTCCAAGATAAGTGAAGTTGTCAACGCGTTCGACTACTTCACTCCCTATCCTTAGTTCAGGTGTTGACGCACACCAGTCCTGAAGCAACAACTTGCATTTAGAGGGAGAGAAGCGCATCCCAAACATTCTGGCATTGTTGCTTAGTGCTACCAAAAGACTCTGCATTCCATCAGCGTCTTCACCAAACAGGACTATGTCATCTGCGTATTCTAAGTCGATAAGTGGACCTCCTGGAAGGAGATCAATACCCGAGAATTCAGTCGACGAGAGTGTTATTTCCATCAATAGGTCTATGATGAAGTTAAACAAAAATGGAGAAAGTGGACAGCCTTGACGGACACCACTTGAAGTTGCAAAAGTAGATGACAGTTCGCCATAAGCCCTGACTCGACTAGTAGTGTTCGAGTAAAGAGCCTTCACAAGGTTTATGTACTTCTGAGGTACGCCTTTCAATGACAGACACTGCCACAGAGTCTCGCGGTCTACAGAGTCAAACGCTGCTTTTAAGTCAAGAAAGACCACCATCGTCGGACGCCGATAGGTATGCCTGTGTTCTAGAACCTGACGAATGGTGAATATGTGGTCGATGCAGCCACGACCAGGTCTAAAGCCAGCTTGGTTCTCTCGAGTTTGTAGTTCACGAGTCTTAGTTAGGCGTCTGATAATTATCGAGGCCAGTATTTTAGATACTATGTTTGTTAAACTAATCCCTCTGTGGTTGTCACAGGATGATTTTGACCCTTTCTTATATATTGGGACGATAAGTGATTGCGACCAGTCAGATGGGATAAAGTCTAATTCCCAGATCTTAGCTAAAATATTAGTCAACCTAATCGCTAAAATTGGACCACCATCCTTAAAGACCTCTGGAGCCAATCCATCTGGACCAGCTGCCCTTCCTCGTTTCAGATTAACTATAGCCTTTTGAACTTCAGCAAGAGTTGGGGGACCTACTTCAATGTTCCATTCACATTGTCTGGGAATGGAGGGTAGTTGTAGAGTAGCTGAAGGCCAGCTGAACTGTTCTCTAAAATGTTCCGCCCATCGTTCTAAACGTCTGGACTGGGAGCAGATGAGAGTATCATCTTTTTCCGAAATAATCTCACTTACACTTGACTTATTAATTCCAGTTTCTTTTATTAGTCTGTAAAGCTGTCTTGTGTTCCCTATAGTCGCCGCCTTTTCCATCTCTTTTGCTTTCGTTACCCACCACTGCTCACGGTCGTTCCTTAGACTTTTTCTTAACCTAGATCTGATTTGTTTTCGCTCTTCATCATGTTCAGAACCTGATGGGACGAGCTTGCGAGAATCCATCAGTGTGACAGACCTTGAAGAAATCCACTGGTTCCTTGCAACTCTGTGGTTTAAGTCACTAATAGATGTCACTGCTGTTTCCACAGCTGATTGTATGCTCTTCCAAGCAACATCTGGGTCAGCCTCGTCTTCACAACTACCTAAGTGTGACCTCAGTTGTTCCTGGAACCTACTTTTGGTTTTCTCGTTACTCAACTCAGTTCTAACGGGTCTTTTTGATGTGGCTTTTTTGCGTCTAGTGAGGCGCAAGCAGACGCGTGCCCGTATTAGGGCATGGTCGGAGTCCAAGCAGGTACTCCAGAATGAGCGACAATCTTCTACCGACCCTCTCCAACGATGACTGATGGCAATATGGTCTATTTGAGTCCATCGTTGGTTTGGTGTAGGGGGTCGCCATGTTAGACGATGTCTCTCCTTATGCTTAAAATTTGTGTTTGCTAAAAATAAACGATTGTCTGAGCATAGCTGCAGCAGACGATCACCATTATCTGTTCGCTGTGTCGGAATACTAAAATATCCACCTAAATGCCTTTCTGTTTGGTTTAAGCTACCTATCTGAGCATTAAAATCACCTGCTACGAGTACTATGTCTGAGCGTTTAGCTTTCTGAAGAAGTTCAGAAAGCTTTCTGTAAAATTCATCTTTCACTTCATCTGAGCTGCAGTCAGTGGGAGCGTAGACAGAAACGACAAAAAGGCAACGACGTGTGTCCCTATCCTTCCGAGTTCTTACGTAGCCGTTCAGCCGAACAGCACATAGACGACTGTTGACGGGGATCCACTCTAGCAGTGCTTGTTCGGCCCTCATGCTTAGTGCTATGCCTACACCTGCCAGTCCACGAGAACTGGCCATCGGGTCACCAGATACACGGAGGGTGTATCTCGTTGGCTCTCCGTTCTGCCGAGGTGAGGTCAAGTGAATGACCACACTGGGATCCTGTATGCGTGTTTCAGAGACACAGCATACATCAATGGAAAGAGACTCTAGGGTTTTAGCCAAGGAAGCCTGCTGACCGATTTGACATAGAGTGCGTACGTTGAAAGCTCCAATGTGTAGTTTGGAGCGAGGTTTCAGTAGACCTGGGACAGAGTTTTGAGCACTAGAATCGTTGGCTATGGTGACACTTGAGGAGGAAGCCGAAGGAGGAAGTTTAGGGTTGAAAGTCGATGTAGGAGGAATAATAGGAATTGAAGAGGAAGGTTGATTATGAATACAGTGGTCTCGGGTGCTGTTAGAGGTATGAGGGCGGTTATCACTTCCCGGTTGCCCACACCGTGGAAGGGTTCTTCTGGAGGTACCTGAAAAGGAAATTGGATTAGAGGTGGTCTCAGTGACCTGAGAGCGTGACCGCAGTGCCCAAGGGACAACTGCTTGAGGCCGGTCGCGCACGGCCTTTTCGTGGAAGGTTTTCGACGTGTTAGCTCCGTTCTTCAAAGGGCCTTACCGCCGGAGACGGAAATCCGTGAGGTAAGGTGAGGTGGGCATTTTTAGGGTCGACCTTTTCTAACCCCACCCCTCCTTGTGGGAAGGCAGCATCGCTGTCATGCTGGTTGTCTGAAGGAAACACCTTACTGCTGTCACACCTCTGTACAGTCAGCAGTACGACTTCGCCTTCGGACCTTGGGTTTGTTGCTTTTAGTCTTACCGCTCTTCAACCGACCTGTCTGACATGGTAGGACCTTGAGGAACGGTTGTTCCAGCCAGTATAGCTCGGTTGCTTCATCACGATAGGCAAGCCCGACCACCACGTCAAGGTAGCAACAACGGTCGGGATAACAAATATGTTACCTATTTGCATTATCAAAATAACCTTTGAGTTAAACTGAGCATGATAGTTTAATTAGGTTCACCAAAGGTTCTTATTTGAAAAATCCGACAACTACACTATTTCACCTCAAGGATGTTTCTAAAGTTATTTTTTCAAACATGAAAAGTGATTTGGTCGTGAAAGCAATGGACTTTGAACCAGTGGATTTGGACGTTTGAATTCCACCCCATCAATTTCTGTTCGAGTATTCATCTCGCAAAAGGAGTGGCTCAAAATCGAGTATATGGAATTGTATTAAGTCACCGAACTACTAATCTTTGAAGCTGATTGAGTTTCGAAAATCTATCTAACTAGTCAAGTAACTGACATCGTACGATTTAATGCTCGGAACTGAATCTTGATGTAAGTTAATCAGAGATGCACCTCGTGGTACAATAAATAATAAACCTCTATTTCTACATTTATATGTTTTTTACAAGCACCACTTATAAGTTATAATGTAAACACTACTCATATTATGATTACCATAGTTTAATTAACAATAACATAAACACTATTCTCAAAACACAGTAATCATATAAACTTTTGAATGCGAATTCCATACAAACGGCAGGTTACTAACTATAAACACTTGAGTAAAATGCAAGTAAGAACGAGGTCATAAACCGAAGGTTTTTTCTCAGGTAAATATAATTTCGTTAATAATGATGTCTTCGTATGAATAAAATAAATAGTAACCATAATTGGATAGTTGGCTACAAAAATATAGGTTCAAAAAACTGTTCAACTTACTATTGCTGGGTACCATGGTGATCCCAAACATTTGGCCCAAACAATATCTAAAGGACTAAATTGATGTTCCGTAAATATATCCTCTCCGACACTACCTCGGGAAGAGACACGAGATAAAGGACTTTTGAGTGGTTTAGAATTACTAGTATAAGATGTTTCAATATTGGAAGAAACAGACAATGGATCTGCTATGCAGTTAGCTTTTGTATCAAATTCATTATCCAACGGTAAGTCAATATGATCTGATCTGTTAACTGATTCAAAATTAACGTTCACAATATCATGATCTCGTTGGATATTATTTGATTTGATAATGCCAGTTTTTGGTAGAAACTTCGTGAACAATGTATCAAAATCTGATGTCATGTGAGAATTATTGGAAGGAACCAATATTGGTGACGGTATATTAAGTTCAGTAGTGTGAAGCTTATTCTTAGCGGTAAATTTACTAAGTGATGATGACCGTCTTTTGTGTTTATATTTTCTAATATTCATAGAAGTCTGTTTTGTCTTGAACCGATAAGCGGATTTCTAAAAACAAAATACATTTTAATATACAAAAATATATACCAGAAAATTTTTAATAACATAGTAACCGACCCATAAGAAGGCAACCTAGATAATTTAACACGGACCTTTTCTAAAAACTTATTTAAAATCATAAAATGAACATATGTCGGGTTTCAACATAGTGAGTCGTACTGATGAATGACATCTAAATGTACAAGATCGTGACTATAAAACTGTGGTATGGCATAGTAAAAAAGTATAGTGTTTAACAACACTAAGAGTGGATTTGAAGCTATTTTATTATTCAAGTACTAACAGGAGTAAAATAACGTGAACGTAATCGACAAAGAAGTTATGCATCTAGCAATGTTGATAAACTAATTGGATGGGAGATTAAGATAAACACCTCTAGTGCGTTTTATATAAAAATATTCTCTTATTGATAAATTATGCCTACAAACACCTTTAGGAAAAATATCAGACCTTCTCAATAGTTATGTTTCTACTGAGCAAAGATTTTATGTTCTTTGACAAATGTTTTCCATAAATTAGTTGAACAGGACTGAGTTCTAGATATATTTGCCAAAAATGCACGTCTTTAAAAAGTCTATTATCACGTTAGAAAGTTGATTCACAATACACTTCAAATGCTTTCATTCATTTTTCTGGCTTAGCAGTGACACTCTAAGCAGGGTTTAAGTAATTTTTCATACTTGATTGGTTCTTTGCTTCATGACAACATTATGGAAACAAATGCTCAAGAAAAGTACTATAGTAGTGTAAACCTATCTATAAGCAGAAAAACTTCCTAATTGTGGATACGCCAACGATGGATATAACAATTCACCAATCGTTGATTGATGTTATTGACTATTAGATCAGGAAAATACTCTCACAAGACTGACACGGACTTATCCTAAGTGACCAGTCAATTCATTAGGATATTTGGAAACGTGATGGAGTTTGATTGTTTTGTGGTTAAATATATATTCAAAATTAAACCCTTAACAAGTCAAGAATATCTGATGCCAGATACGTTAGAAATATACCTAATGTCAATGTCTAAATAGGGTATTACTAGAAGTAAATAATTTATAGTACCTAACTGGAGTACTTTTTCGAGAGGAACTAAAACTATTTTTGAAAGATGCGAAACTAATATAATTCAACAAAAGTTTGATATAAATCTTTTTAAAACTTACTAAGCGACTGACAGGAGAACGTTTATTAGCAAAAGCCATTCGACTTGTACCAATCAATGTAGTTGTTCTATTAACAATATTGGATTTTTTATTAATCTCAACTTCAGGATCTTGTTTTGAACGTTGCTGTTGGTAGTGTCTACAAAGAGGACGATCAGAATCATGACTAGGATTTGGAGTTGAAGAGTTAGTATTCGGATAAACAATACATCCATCATCACTTTCATCTTCATCTGTCTCTTCACTATCATCTTCGTCATCCTCATCATCACCGCGTGATAAACGACCAATTCGATAACGTGTAAATGCAGGTCCATTACTTAAAGATATTAGTCCATTCATTTCATTTGTAGACCGAGCTACTTGACGAATTTGCAAACAATTGGAATCGTTAGCTGCTAAAAGATTAGAAGGATTCCATTTACAATTGGTAGACTCGTTGTTCCCAGGCGATTTGATGAGGTTTTCAAAGCAATTCGCTGAATTAGTGTAGGCTTGGGCAAATGCACTTCCAGGAGAGTGTGACTGCAGTCGAGCTAGTTTTGAAGGTTTTCGACAGTCTCCATTGTGTAAAGTAGGAGAAAGATGAAGTTCACGATCTCCATTAGTTGATGAAAGACTAAAGAAGACAAAAAGTAGAAACACAAGTCGATTTAATGGTTAAATATTCATTAGTATATCTATTATATCTTTGGTAGATTTAGGAAGGTAAATGAGGATGACAACCAAAGTTTCTGTCAAATCAGAGGGGTCATTGGGTTTAAACAAGAAGTTTTTCAATTGTATCAGGTATCTGTTATGTCTATCACTTTTAAGTCTTCCATGGCCTAGCATTCATTAACACTTTACGAGACTAGTCTCAAAATCAAAACATGACTCAGATAGAAATATAAATATATTTTAAAGCAAACAACGAAGTTATTTAGTTACATATTAATTAAAATGATTATAACTTATATATTGAGTAATCGTCAATGAATACAAATCACAAGTGCATTAATTAATAAGATGGAGATACATTGAAAAAGAAAACTTCATCGGAGAAAGTTTACTTTTATCATTTTGTGAATCCTAAAATCGATTTCTTAATAAATGCAATATTCAGGGATTCTACATCCTCAAAAGTGTCATGCCAGTTAGGATACTTAAACTCTAATTTAGGTGACAGTACAGGGGTTGTGGCGATTGTTAAATAGTATTAAGGTTACGAACCGACCTAAGTTAAACAAACATCATAAACCTGAAAGTAGTGGACATTCATTTTGTTCTAGTATGGGATGCCTCAGAAGCGCTCATCCAAGACCCACCATATGCTATTGAAACTAGTACCTGCCGTCTTGCACGCGAACTGCTAACTTCTACACCGCTGAGATATCCAAAGTTATATACGTTCAATTCTCGATAATGTGCTATCATCTACTATTGCCAAGGAGTGGATAATTGTCACACACTCAACAAGGTTGGACTTGCCTGGTGACAGATCCTTACTACGGTTTCGTAAATTCCCTCTCAAAGCTAGACGCTAGTGAAGGACTCCAATACTAGGACGAAACAGCTGAATAGTGCTTCTAGGTTTTTAATAGCTATCTAAATTAAACAGGTTCGTGATCTCAATAACATTCAAATCTAGTTGCCATTCAAGTTGTGAATTGGCTTTAATGATGATTTGTATCTAACTACCTGGGTTAAAAATCGTGCTAACCAGAATTTGGCAACTGTTTTCACTTAAGAAAAGATTCCACATTAGTGCATACAGAAAAACAGTTCAGTTGTTTTTGAATTGTATCCAGAAATTGACTTGTTGATAGAGTGAAGACAAATATCTATATTAGCACAAATTTCGGTATTTGACAAAAATAAGAAGTAAATTCTGGACCAACAAATGCAGTTTCTTGTGAACAATAAAAACTCTCCGATCACGCACGGATAATTTCAATAATCTTAGATGACTCTCTGTGTTTGATCATCGCTGTCTACGAAGGATTGCTGACATCCAGTGGCAACACCATGTTAGTAATGCAGAGGTTCGGCATCGTGTGTTCGGGCACAGAGATGATAATGCAATTGGTGTCACCATCTTGAAACACCGACTTCGGTGGCTTGGACATGTTCTACGAATGTCATCCCAGAGAATCCCACGCCGTGCATTATTTGCCGACTCTGGGACTAGTTGGAAAAAGTGGAGAGGTGGTCAGCATATGACATGGTGTCGTGGTATGAAAGAAAACTGCAAAGGGCTGGCTTCTGTTGGTCCTTCACGACTCCCTGGTTGGGGTCCGAGAGATGGTGCAACACAGTGGCTAGAGACGTTATCAGATATGGCTCAGAATAGAAGCCAGTGGCGATCCTGCTGTAACCTTCTTTTACTTTCTTCATAAAAAATGGTTGTTTCTTCCTTAACTGAAAGATTTTTTCTGATTGTACCTTTCCGTTTCCCCCATTATTACTAATATTATTATTATTACACTACCTTACATTAATCTGTTCGTTACTGTTCTTTTTTTCTCCTCGAATTCTCACTGCTTTATGTGGAGCATATATATATATGGTGCCCTCTTGTACCAATATTTACGTGTTCAAATAAATAAATAAATTTCAATAATATCTGAGAAAAAATATGTTCAATATTTCTGTTCTATTAATTATAGTTCACTAATGTAGATTCCAATATATTTTGTAAAAATAGTCGACAACTAGTGTAATCCATCAACAGAAGTATAAAGGCATTCTGTACAGATTTATGTATAAGCTAAATGGAACATTTGTTATGCGATACTTAATGAGAAGAATATGTAAAAAATGGGCAACCCACCAATAAATGACAATTTGACTTTTGAACAAAAAAATTACGTAATTCATAATAACATTAATGAAGTTCTATGCCATCCGAAAAGTTAACGTATTTCCCAGCTGAGGTTAGCAATCACGTTTCTAATGTTCAAGTGGTAAACCACTTCCGACCAATTTTATTGTTTTATGGGTGAGTGCTGTATACTGGAGTGTAATTCTCACTAAAGATTTCATTTCAAGTGCCTGGAGGAAGACACAGCTGTCTGTTATGAGCATGTCAGGGTAGCGTAGCACGACATGCAAGATGAAAACACAAATATAATGAAAATTAGAGCTTGAAAGGCAACCTCTGATGAGAATTATTCTATAATATATACCATTCAACGACTTTATGAATGGGAATATAGCCGAAGGTCAGTCAGGCATCTACAGTGTAGGACCAGGAACATGTATGCATCGGTCCAAGTTGCCATACCTCATTAGCACAAGATGAATACCAAATCCATAGAAGCAGCTAATTCAATTGTAGTAATATGTAAAAGATTGCATATAAAGATATGGTACAGGGAGAAAGAATTAATTCGTAGAAAGAAAGGTATGAAGTAATTTTGATCACATCGCCGAAGGTGCTGGGAATAACATGCCACTTGAACATTGAAAAGGTGACAGTCAACTTCAACCACATCTCTCTTTTTTGCCGATCAAATGACAAACCTATGATATATATTTGTTTTAAAAGAGTTAATTTAACCGTTACGTTGAAAAAAATCAAAGATTAAATACTTGATTACTGTAATTAGTTGTATATACAATAAGTGAAGTAAGCAACAACAAAAAAACACAACTAGATTCAACATACCGGCGTTTTCTAGGTAAAACAGATGAGTCCACTATTGAATTAGTAGTAGTAGTAGTAGTACCATTAATAATAGTAGTAGTAGAAGTAGTAGCATTATTTGGTGAAATGAATTCAAAATTTCCATTTGTAGTGAAAGAAATAGGTGATTGATTTGGTTTTGTTGGTGAATGAAAACTTCTTAGTCGACTTCGTATACTACTAGGAACTGATGAATTTCGATCACAATTAATCAATTCTTTTAAAGGACTATGAACTCGTTGTTCATTCGTTGTTAATGTACATTTAGAAGGTTTTCGTGTGGTGGATAAATGGTTTAATACTGGAGAATTTGTTGGATTTTCTCTATAATTATAATTTGTATTTAATGAATTCACTGATTGTATACAATTTTCATTCGTTTTAGATGAATTTTCAATATTATCCTGATGAGATGATTGTTCATTAGTTTCCGTCTTAATTTTTAAATTTTCTAGAAGAAGTCCAGTTTTAGGGCAGAAATTGATTTGTTTTGCTATTGTTAAGGCTTCAGATATGATAGGTTTACTCTTTAGAAAAACAAATACAGAACAGTATACATTTGTAATGTAATTTACTGTTTTGCTTTTTAGGAAACAGGAGAGTTTAGTTTCATTTACTTACCAAGTACAGATCCGTGTGCCTGGAGCTTTAAGTCACACACTGTGTGAAGTATAGTGATACTGTTTAGGTGCCTAAGCTAAAGCAGATGTAGAAAGACTCGAACATCCGGTCTAGTGATTGAAAATCAGTTACTCAACGTCTTTGACCATTGGTTACGACAATCACAGGGATCCCAACCAGATAGTCTGTACCTACCTATCGTGGTTCAGTTTAACAGCCAATGACGTCATGGACTAATACCATGTTTTGTCTTGGCCGTTCCTACCGTTCTTCTAGCTTATTACTAAACTATCACCACCTATCGGTGTAGGCAGTGGTTGGGCATAAGTAATACATGTCCTGGCAACCTCAGTAGATGAAGATTCAACACCTCATCAATCCATTGTCCAACTTTACCTGGTACCCTATGTTTAACACCACTAGCGTTCATTTAGTGGTCGCAATGTTCACGACCAATACTCCGAAGGGATAAGAGGAATACAAAAATCTTTGGAAAAAAACAGATTATCTCTTCGGTTTTGAAAAGACACTTGAAACAATAACAAGGCTAGATATAGAAGTAGAACAGGAGGTTGGTATACATATACACACTGCAACATGATTGTAACCGCAAAATACTAAGAAATGCTACAATATAACGGAACATAAATTTACTTCTCTAAATTTTTTTGTAATAATATTAATTTGTAATTAATTTATGCTCGAATTAAATACTGAACCAAAAGAATTTGTCAAATGAATACCAACGTGAAAATAAAATAAAATTCATAGCTTTCAGCTTTTCTACATATTGATAGGTCAGTTTTTTGAAATAGGAATTTAATTAATTAACGCATAAATTACTTTTTGCCCCCAAATGCCTTGGCACGGCCGAGAGTGGGGAGAGTCCGCTCTTCCTCTCGAAATGCTCTCATATGGCCACGTGTATATAGCCACTGCCAGGGAAGTCCTACCCACTACCTTCTCGCGGCGGGGGTGTTGTTTACGAAATTGAGAGGACGAAAAGCGAATGTCTAGTGCATTAACCGGGTTGGTGGATATGGAGGATCCACATAGGGGGGTTAGAAAAACTTGATTTCAAACCAAATGGTATATATGGGCTCTAGTATCCTGAAGGAACAAATGACGTATGAACCAACCGTTGGTCACCGGCTACCATGGGACTGCATCTTCTGACGTTGCTCCACTGCCTTGTGGATTATACCTTTAGGTCAAAGGCTCTGGGTGTGACCCCCAAAGAAACCACCTGTTTTGATTTGGGTACCCAGACAGTATCCCCGTCCTCATACAAAGTGAATGATTTATGTGGTGCATATCTGTTTCTTACCGTCTTGTACCTATGTTTATGTGTTTAAATAAATAAATAATAATTTTATAGATGTTAAACTTACTCGTTCACGTAGTTTCACAGCGGCAGTATAATAGACACTTGTTTCACGATTATATTCAAAACAATTTTCTAACATTAAATTAAAATCTGATAATAATTCATTTATAGTGCAATATTCGAAATTTTCAATTTTTTTACGCATTGTAGAAAAATCCATTGGTTTTTTAATAATTACTGAATAATCTGGTGCTAGACTTGGTTCAACAGGTTCAGCGAAAAACTGATTTGTATCTAAAGCCTATTTTAAATAGATGAATAATAATAATAATAGGGAATTATTACTCTCAATCAAATTGACTATAATGATAAAAAAGAATCATTTTTGGTAAGGTTAGGTGATTGAACTGATATTACTTAGGAGTGGTAATTCAGTAGTTAACTGAGTGAGACTATAATTTATGGACGACCTTTGAGAATGTCAACCTACATACTACGGCTAAATAAGGGTTATAAACCAGTGTTAGGAATTAGGATTAATATTTACAATATCCTAGACTTCCATGAGAACCCCTATCCTTAAACATATATGAGATGATTTTCCTTGAAAAACCTTAGACCAGATTGCCAGACAAAACGTTGGATTTGCTTCAATTCTTTCGCTAAGATTTTACAAATACATTCTTCCACATATATGAGATTATGATTATTGCTAAGACAATTCAATATATATTTCAAGAAATTTTGATTTAAAATACCTATGTTTAGATCAATTCAAAACATACAGTAATGAGTCAATAGAAGTTATTTAAACTTTAACAAAAATCAAAATTTTCATTCGAAACAATTCATACAAAATTGTTGTATTTATAACTAAATACGTAGAACATATTCATCAGTAACAATTTTTCCCTTAGAAACTATGGAATTCTAAAATTTATTAAAGGGGGATAGATATATTACTAAATGATTGAAAATTTTCAATTATCCAAAGATTTTTATTTTAATAATTATATAGATGAATATATTTTTCTTCTTCTTCTTCAAAAATATATCATCACGATTGATAGAACTTGGTCAGTACATTAAAATGGAATAATGTAAAGTGAATTATTTATAAATCGATGAATATACAAATTAGTATACAATTCTACAAACAAACAAACAAACAAAAAAAGAAAATTTACAACCTGAAAAACTTAAAACACACATTTATATAAACAGAAGAATATTAACTTCTGAATGAATGCCCATTAATTTTTTCTTAAAAGTTCGAATTGATGACCTTAAAAATGTATGCCGAATATGAAGTGAATATATATATATATATATGGATTTGAGATTGTTAGCATAATAAGTTTATAAGCATTTATAAATGGTGTAGTGATTATTTGAATCTGGTTATAGATAATAATAATAATAATAAAATTATAAGAACGGAAGAGTATGTTCTTAAAATGAATAAAAACTATAGGACTTAGTGAAAATTTAAAGACAAAGCATATAAAATATGATAAAAATTTTTATAAAACAAGTATGATTTGTGACAAAAGTAGTAAATTTGGAGAGAATCACAATGGTTCCAGAATTTTATTTATTTATGATTAACTAAATAATAATCTATGTGGATTAATCAATGTTATTTGGTCATATGTAATTTTAATTATAAATACAGAATAATATAACTGAGAAGTGAACTTTTTAAGCAAGTTATTTTATTTTTATGAGGATTTCTACATTACAGATATTTTTGTGATTTATTAACGTATAGATTACCAGTCGGTTAATAATACTACTTATTATCTATGGGCTGTAATCGAATTATTTAGAGTAAATTTATTGTTTTGATTAAAAAGTAAATAACTTAATACCTAAATCACTAAGTAAAAAATGCAAATATTCTGCATAAATTCGATATATTGCGCTGTAAATTACATCTACTTTCTGTGTAAATGCATGTGTAACAAAATAACACTAGGATACAAATGAGTTAGCGAAAGTAACTGAGATAAAACTTGTAGCCTATTGACTAAAATTAATTGAATTACCAATTCAAACCAAAAGACTCCTATAAACAGTGATGTTAGTACAGGTGAATGAAGTGATTTACCGTTAGGTAGATGGAGACAATTGATGGGAAACCCTAAACATATTCTTTGTGCTAATTAGCATTCTTAGATAATATGCATTGGCAGACTTGAGACAACTGATGCAAGTGATCATATTGTAACGTGATCAACAAAATTTTATCATGATTAAAGACTAGACAAGAATTACATAGTTTATTATTTAATGACCAACCAATGTAATAAAAGTGAATTATATTTATTGAGAAAGTGAAAAAAATGATGTCTTCCTATCTTTCATCGTTTTGAAGTGAATAGTAATGTAAAATTACAACTGAATGAATGCAAACTTAACAAAACATTTTTGAAACAAGATTTGCAAACTCAAAAGTTTTGAATAAATTATACGTCCAATTCTTGTTTGTAATATATTGAATGGTAAGAATAACATAACTGTATAAAATATTATCACGAATTTGATTGTAGAAAATAGATGAACAAAAGGTATGCATACGAGGTTTACCATTCATAAAAAGATAATGTAATTCTGTAGTACATATAAATGATATATCCACCGATTGCGCAATAGAAAATAACAATTTCATATGACTGTATCATGTCTAACTCCTTTCTACATAAAAAATGGAATCCTATGCTCCAAAAGGTAATTTTACGAAATGGTCAACTGGATGCAGTTTTGTTCTAAATACCTCCTCTCCACAGAAGAAGTTTATCCTCTATATTTCAAATGAAAGCATCTAAAGAATAAAAACAAGCTACTACTTAACCAACAACAGACAATGACCATAACAACTAATTTGAAATACATTGAAAAAAAATTAATTCAGATTAGCAGCTAACAATAAAAAAGGCGAAATGAATTCAAACACCTAAAACATATACATACAACATCCTTACTTGAAGTTGATCTATAAATCGTAACTGAAATACAACAAGTGGTTTGATTTTAAACTCAATTTCAGTCACAAATAGACGAAATATATCACGTTTAATACGTTCACGTTTACGTATAAGTTCAGATAATAATCGTCCTCTTTCAAGATCTTGACGTAGTTGTTGCCAAAATTTCAAATGAGCTCTCATTCGATGCGATTCTGCATCTCCAGTTGTAGCCGCCACAGCCTATAAATGAAAAAAAGAATAATGTAAAACATAAGGATTTATTTATTTGAACACATAAGGATATTTTTTCCTGAGAAGCTACCAAATCTAGATCAAATTAAATGGTATAAGATTTTCAAATGATAAATTATGGAAAAGTGTAAAACTAACTATTGTATTTTATTGTAACGATCAGTTGGTGGTTGGAGGTAATCGACAAGAAACCCTAGACCATAGGTTTTGTGCTGCTTAGCACTTGTCAGCAAGGTGGGCATGTAATCTTCAGGGAACTGATGTACCCTGGAGAATTGGATGCCGTGTCACCCAGCTTCACAGTCAGGGGCGTTATCATTAAGATATTCGGGCACTAACTGACCTGTGGTACGAGAGATGTATTTACAATCGACTGGTTACTGAGTAGTGACCAATTTGTCACTAGCAGTAATCTTTAACACATCTTTTGTGTTGACACTTTACAATAAAATGATCATTAAGACAAGATTTATAGTGGGATCCAAGCATATTGAAGGGTTATCTTTGTAGAAAGATATTAGGAATATATCAGAAATATACAATAAAAGACCATTATCTACACTTTAGCAACTCTGTGCATGAAGTCACAAAAAAGCCTAATCAAAACCCTACGGAGACCAAGTAGAGAAACCTATGTCAAAATGTTTACTTTCCAGAAACATCTGTGTACCAACAGTTGGTCAAGCAAATACATAAATAACCGAAATAATGAAACGAAGTATACTTGAGTAAAAACAATATCATTTTTAAAATTAATCTTAAGGATGAGGAAATTTCCGACAGAATCAAACACAAACTAAGTAATTCACTGAGAGGAGCTAGTCGCTAACTGCTTATGTTCAACTGTACTGCTTATATCACACTTACCCTAATAGTAATTAACAGACAAATAAGTTTAATTTAAGCTCTTAGCACATTTAGGGAAAAAATGCAATCAAGAATCATAAACATATCTTCAGAAACACGATTCCTAATCCCAGATTACGAACTATCTGGATCTATATGAAATGTATCTGTCTGATAATTTAGAATTATTTTATAATCCCCCTTTCAACTTATAATATTATTTCCTAAGATAGTATACTCCTCTTCCTATTTTCTGGCATTCATTTAGTTCAAGATGTTGTTCTCCATTTCTAAAAATCTACCCCTATCAGTTACACAGTTTTTCTTTCTTATTTTTAATGTTTATGATATTATCCTATTAATTTGCGAATCTGTAGCTCAGCGATCCACGTGTATTTAGCTTTCAAGCATTAGATATAAGGTTTGGTTCTTCTTCACTCTAATTATTTTAGTTATCAGACAATATTATACAAGAAATCTAACCTAAGGTATATTAAACAAACCAATAATAGATAGTTGAGTTGTATTTTATAATAAACATATGGTGATGTAAAAGGCTGATATTATAAGTGTGAGTACAGTCACTGATTATCATTCGGATACATGTTTTTACCTAATAAGTGTAACTCATAATATAAGCTTCAAAACAATCATATGAAAGTTTCTTCCTCCAAAATTTCGAATTATGGTGAGTTTTTATAGCCAGTGACATTATCACAAAAGTAGAATGTCTTATCTATGGTAGAGTGTGAAACAATCATTAGAAATTGTTAATAAGTTTCATGATTCTTAGTGAATATATATCCAGTACAAATGTCTTTTGGATTACATTTGAAGTATATTCAATAATTAATGATTATGAAATAACACCAGACAGAAATTGATGAACAGTAGTATTATAATCACAACTTACAAAATTAGCAGCACTTCTGTGCAAAGAACATGCCTGAAGTCGTTTAAGTAATGGAACACCACGTCTAAACTCTCTTTTGAGCTTCCAAAATGCATAAGTTTGCTTTAAAAACTCCATTTTATCCCCTGATACACCAGATAACTTGGATAGAATAAGCTGAAAACAGGAGCCAACAGAACTTTAGAAAGTACCTGTAAAAAGGCTAAGGTATTCTAGAAATATAACATATATGCAATAACTAAGCCAGATAATTTTCATTGGTCGTGGAAACTGATGAAATCGGAAAGTTGGGTGTTGTTCTGTTCACAATTTGTATTCAAATGACAGTTCGCAAACTTCCAAACATTAAAACCTAGTTTCTATCTACAAAGTCAACGAATAATCACCATCACTTAGTAATAACATGCTGTGCAATGAATCAGAACTATAGAGGAAATCAGGAAATAATAACAGTATCTTGCTGCATGATATCATTAACTGTGAAGTCGTTTCAGTCGACTATAAATAAAAGTGTACACATTCATGTTATTGGACCATATTGTAATACATCAGATGGAATAGCTAGATATGCAAGTGAAAAGTTGGTAAACGTATTCAATTAAGCGTTAGAAGATAACTCTGGTCAGTTTAGAGCAATATTCGTGAATGCTTTTATTAATTGTGGCACTTAATAAACGTAGAAATATGTGCATATTTAATAAACACCATCCTTCACGTTAAAATAGTAATAAATAGATGATCAAATCTAACGGTGCTCTAAGTCTGACTGTTCTCCCTTCAAGACTCTGGAAAACAATAGGAACACTTGATTCAACATAAAATCGCAGCTCTGTTAAACTGTACTCATTACGTTTACAATGACACTGAAATAGTTCCCAACTAATACTTAAGTTAGAGAGATAATTCAATATAAATACTGATACGATAAGAAAGATATATGTTATTATATATATTCACAATAGCCCTTACATGTCTTTTATTTATGTAAGCTGGTTACAGTCTGATTCTATTTCATTCATCGAAGTGAAGTAGGAGTAGTATAATAAATCTTCATACGACAGGCTTAGCTCCTAACACAATAAACAAACCTATACGTTATTGCTGATTGACATCAATTTATTATTATCATTAAAACACAATTTTTTTGAAAAATACTTTGACCAACAACTCACATCTAGTTTTGCTTTAGATACAATGGGAACACAAACAGATGGTTTAGAATTTCTACGTTCAGCTAAAATTTTACGAGCTTTTCTGAGATGAATTCGAGCTGCTCGCTCAGGAGACTGAGGACCATCCGAATCAGAATGGGCGTACATTCCTTTATTTGAACTCTAAATATGATTAACCAAAACAAAAGTTGGAATAATAATAAAAATTTACTACAGTTAATAGAGTTGGAAATCTGAAAACAAATACGAATGGTGAGATAAAAGTCAATAGCTAGATAGCTTATTTTTGGTAGTAACAATTTAATTGGTCAATTAACGCATTTGCTTTTGTTCATTAATTTACGAAACAGTATAGTAGGGAATCGAGAAATAAATGACAAAAAAAATGACTAACAGCTAATGAAAGAAATGGTTCTAGTGAGAACATAATTAAAAAGGTTTTTTATCCATAAAATAACCCAGTACCAGACTGCAACAAGATCCTCATTCACTTTTACCTTGAATAATATCTGATAATGTCCCACATCAGAATCTTACTACTCTAATACCCTATATTGGGAGTTTTAATGAACCACCACTCACCGAACACATTTGTTCTCTATTTCGCTGCATCGTGTAGGAAGTTGATCAAGTCTTTCCCTTGGGGACGAAATGAAATTTTTTAGGTCCTATTCTGTTAGTGTATTTGTATGTTAGTTTCTACTAACTTATTCGAACATAAAATAAATACTAAAAATCTAAAAAACACCGACATCGCAGTCTTCTATTTACACCATGTAAAACTGTTTACAGGAATTTCGTGATCAAGCAAAATCCGAAATTATTGATCACTTCAAGTGTTCCAGTTAGTATATAAATCATCTATAAGACACGTTAGAGGTGAAATGCTATGCCACTACCATAATTACTATACCATTGAAGTAAATATATTATCACCATTATTATTTAGACATGTTCAGACTTACTTACCTAATACTCGTAAAAATAAATAAAAACCGTAAAACGCTAGTGATCTCAGTAAAGGGAATGTTTAATTTAGTAAAGATAATTATGCAATATGATGAGACTTATAAGAAAGGTTAACACATCAATAATTATTACCAAAATTCACCACAAGACTATTCATTTAATAGTTATTCATTCTACCGACCGTAGCTGCTACCTTGACGTGGTAGTCGGGCTTGCCTATCGTGTTGACCCAACCGAGCTATATGGGCTGGAATATATGTTCTTGTAGGTTCTACCATACCAGGCAGATTGATTGGAGAACGGTAAGACTAAAAGCTGTAACTCAAGGTCTGAGGGCAAAGTCGTACTGCTGACTGTAGAGAAGTGTGACAGCAGTAAGGTGTTTTCCCTCCGACAACCAGCATCTGCAGCGATGCTACCTTCTAACAAGGAAGGAAGGGGTGAGAAAATGTCGACCCTAGAAATGTCACGCCTCACATTACCCCACGGATTTCCGTCTCCGGCGATAAGGCCCTTTGAAGAACGGAGCTAACACGTTTAAGCCTCAAGCAGTTGTTCCTTGGGCTCTGCGGTCAAGCTCCCAGGTCGTTAAGACCAACATTAATCCACCTTCTTTTTCAGGTCCCTCAAAAAATACCCTTCCGGGAAGTGATATCAGCCCTCATACCCGTAACAGCACATAAGACCAAGTTGGTCACATTCAAATCCTTCCTACACCTCCTAATAACTCTCTTATCTCCACGACTAACCCTCCTCACGTCCATTTATCACCTCGCACCGCTAGTGCAAACGATCCGAGTACGCGGAATGTTATTCCTGGTCTACTGAAACCACGCTCTAAACGGCATGTAGGAGCTTTTAACGTTCGAACACTGTGCCAAATAGGACAACATGCTTCCTTAGCTAGGACTTTAGAATCTCAAGCCATCGATGCGTGCTGAGTCTCCGAAACGCGCATACAGGATCCAAGTAGCGTCATTCTGTTAGGATGTTCGGAAAAATATACCAATAATTATCGGGTCAAGTCTAATGGTGTCCTTGGACGTTAAATGGACATTCCCTATTGGTCGATATTTATTTCACTTGTTAAATATTGTACAAATGTTGTTTTCTATTTTATGGTACGATGTGGTTTGTTTGTTTGGTATATAAACAGAGTATGTCTGAAATATAACGATTCATATCGCAGAGGCTAAGACTTGCGTTCTGGACTCAACTGGCTGGGCTAGACAGGGGAGCGGGACCAATCAGAACCCTAGACCGTCCTTACGTGTTTTTCCGTGTCACTGTAATCGATCGATAAATACGCTGCTCCATAATCAGCAGTTAACCCGTCACAACACATTCATTTGACCTCATCATGTCAAAATAACGAACCAACTCGATTCACGCTTCGTGTATCTGGAAGCCCTGATGCTGCTCCCCGTGGCCTCACCGGCGTAGGTATAGCATTGAGTCCTAGGGCAGAACTAGCTCCCTTAGACTGGATCCCAGTAGACAGTCATTTGTGTGCTGTCCGACTAAACGGGATACAAAGAACTCGAAAAGATAGGGACACTCGTCGTTGCCTCTTCATTGTCTCTGACTACTCTCCCACTGACTGTAGCTCAAATAATGTAAAAGATGAGGTTTACAAAGCTTTCCGACCTTCTCCGATAAGCTAGGCGCTCTGATGTAGTAATAGTGGCTGGTGACTTTAATTCTCAAGTAGTTAAACTAAGCGCAAAGGGAAGGACACCTGGGTGGATCTTATGGTGTTGTGGCTCAAAGAACACATAATGGCGACCGTCTGTTGCAACTATGCTCAGATAACCGCCTGTTTCTCGCAAACACTAACTTTAAGCATAAGGAAAAACATTCGTCCCAACGTTGGACCCAAACAGATCACACCGCTATCAGTCACCGATGGACGGGCTCGATAGAAGACTGTTGCTCGTTCTGAAGCACATGCTTAGATTCAGATCATGCTCTAGTGTGAGCGCGTATTTGCTTGCGTCTTATTGGACGTAGGAAAGATGCTGCAAGGAAATCTCTTAGGACCCTACTTAATGATAGTCAAGCTAAGAATTTATTTCAGGAACAATTAGAAAAACAGTTGGGCAGCCATGTATGTGATGCCTACCCCGAGGCAACGTGGAATGACATCCGAAAAGCTGTGGAAACAGCAGTAATATCTGCTAGTACGGTAAACCATAAGATTAGGAAGAAACATTGGATCTCAGCAGCATCTACCGCACTGATAGATGCTCGAAAACTCATTCCATCTGGCTCTGAACATAACGAAGAGCGGAGTCAGCTTAAGCGCAAGCTGACAAGAAGCCTACGCAATGATCGCGAACAATGATGGGTAGCGAAATCAAGAGAGATGGAAAAGGCAGCGGCAATAGGTAACAGCAGACAACTGTTCAGACTTGTCAAGGAAATCAGTATTAGGAACCCAACTGTTAGCGAAACAATCTCAGAGAAAAATGGACATATTATTTATTCTGTTGAGTCGGCTTTCGGAGAACTTCAACGGAGCCTCCAGAGGCCCTAAAGGAGCCGAAAAGTTCTAGCCAATCAGAGCATGATGGAGCACCCTAGAATTCCAACGTGGCGTGCTACTATTGGTCAGTAGCATGTCGTTAACGGATTGGCTGAAATATGATGTTGATTTAACAAACGTTAACATCTACAAATACCCATGTTTTCTGTACAAAAACGAACCTTGGAGTTAAGTGTCTCTCTAATACTTTGCGTCTTCTTTCTGGTGTTCAGGTCGCTGTATAGTTCTAGCGTGCGGGTTATCACAATAGCTTAGGAACGAATGTAGCGTCCAATCGACAAGACTTAACAATATCAATCCAGGAGATTGGATAGATGGGCAGAACACTTTAGGGATCAGTTCAACTGGCCTTCAGTCACACTTCGGTTTCCCACGATCTCCAGTCAACCTGAATGGCAAGTTAATTTAGGTCCTCCGACTCTTTATGAAGTTGAAAAAGCTATAGGAAATTTGAAGCGAGGGAGAGCAGCAGGCTCTGACAGGTTTACTCCTGAGATTTTTAAGGATGGCGGTCCAGTATTATCAGTGAGATTAACTGAGGTCTTAGGTAGAATTTGGGAACTGGACGTAATCCCATCTAACTGGTCTCAATCACTGATTGTGCCAGTCTATAAGAAAGGACAAAACCAGGCTGGTTTTCGACCTGGACGTGGTTGTATAGATCAGATATTCACACTACGTCAAGTTCTAGAACATAGACACACATTCAGACGCCCCATAATCGTAGTATTTCTCGACAATAATGCAGCGTTCGACTCTGTTGATCGTAAGCTTCTATGGCAGTGTTTGTCACTGAAAGGAGTACATTAACCTCGTAAAGGCTCTCTACTCGAACACAACTGGTAGAGTGAAAGCTTATGGCGAACTGTCATCAGAATTGATTACCTAAAATGGTGTTCGTCAGGGCTGTCCACTCTCCCCATTCTTGTTTAACTTTGTCGTTGACTTACTTTTAGAGATGACACTTTCCTCATCTAAATTTCCAGGAGTTGAACTTCTACCGGGAGATCCACCTTTTCACCTAGAATATGCAGATGACATAGTTTTATTTGGTGAAGACACTGACAAAATGAACAGTCTTCCGACCACCCTAAACAACAATGCAAGCATGTTCGGGATGCGATTTCCTCCCTCGAAATGCAAAATGTTACTTCAGGATTGGGTGGCATCGACACCCAAACTAATGATAGGGAGTGAAGTAGTTGAGCGTGTCGACCGCTTCACTTATCTTGGAAGTCTCATCAGCCCTTGTGGTCTGGTGTGTGACGAAATCTCAGCACGGATACAGAAGGCTCCACTAGCTTTTGCCAACTTGCATCATTTATGGCGTAGGTGAGATATCCGTCCATCAACCAAAGGACGTGTTTACTGTGCAGCCGTTCGTTCCGTCCTACTTTATGGCAGTGAAACGTGGCCGGTAAGAGTATAGGATATTCGTAGGTTACTAGTATTCAATCATAGGTGTCTTCGAAACATTGCTCGTATATCCTGGGACCATCGAGTAAGTAACGCAGTTGTTAGGAAACGGGTACTAGGTAAGGATGGCAAATCGATTGATGAGGTAGTGAAACTTCATTAGTTGAGATGGCTGGGACACGTGTTACATATGCCCAACCACCGACCGCCCCGACGTTCGATGTTTTATAGTGTAGCAGTAGGTTGGACGAAAGCTAAGGGCGGCCAGGCCAAAACATGGCACAAGTCCATGAAGTCACTGACAAGTGGACTGAGTCATGTTGGTAGGTGTAGACCACCTGGTTGGGGACTGCGAGATGATAGGGACCGATGGTTAGAGACCCTGAATGACATGGCTCAAAATCGTTTGCAATGGCGCAAGTGCATCCACTCTTTATCTTTTCCCAAATTCTAATCTTCTGAATTCTTCATGTCCCTTTTTTTCCTCTTCCCAAATTTATTTCACTGTATTATACTCCTTGAATTACATCTTCAAACCCTAATCTTTCCGATTACTGCTTATACTCTTACTACCTCTACCACTACGGGATTTGAATGGACAAGTGCATCTCTGTGCTAATGTGGTATGACAACTCGAACTGATGTACGTACGTACGAAGTTCTACGTTGTTACTGACCAACTGACTGACTATTCATTCAACTGGCCAGTATCAAGCTTACATTTAGGTTAATCAGTGTAAGTAATTGTTATTCTATCATTTAGAAATTGTTTAATAATCTAGATAAAATGACTCTTTCCTAAAAGAATCACCTAGAAGTTTGGTGACTATGGTCATCATTATAATGGTAATCAATATTAATTCTTGACATATTTTTAAACACAGTGCGAGCGAACTTACAGAAAAGTGATCCGGCGGACAATGTTGGTCGCAAAACGCACTCTTTCGGATTCCTAGATCTCCAGGATCATCTGTGTGCTCGATTTTCATATACAATCCAGCATGTTGTGCGCATGTCACATGAAATGCGCGATAACAACTAGATTTATGACACTGTATACAAGCACCAACATTGCGTTGTTTACAAATGAAACACTGAAGACGCCATCTACAGAAAATGAAGATCATTATTGATGTAAACAAATTAAAAGCTTCAATCCAATACAAAAATACAACTGAACGCACTTATGTTAATAAATCTGTTATTTCATCTAAAATTCCGAGGTAGACAAATTAGGAACTACTTCTAAATTTGAATATATTACAGAAGGAACATTCAGTTAGTCCTATTGAGCAATGCTACCTTCCTTCCTAAAAATTTATTAAAAAAATCCTTATTGAAGCTGTAGGTCATTAAACTAGACCTTTAGTCAGCATATCTAGTTTACCAATACTAATACATACTTACTTATGCCTGTTATCCCTTGTGGAGGAGCATAGATCAACCACCAGCATTCCCCATCCAAATCTGTCCTGGGCAATCCTTTCCGGTTGCTTTTCATCATTTTCATGTCTGCTTCCAATTCCCGACGCAGTGTATTTTTTGGCCTTCCTCTTTTCTATTTCCCTTCGGGATTCCAAGTTAGCGCTTGCCTAGAGATACAATCTGATGATTTCCTCAATGTGTGTCCTATCCGCTTCCAACGTCTTTACCTACTTTCCTCTTCAGTTGGAAGGTGGTTTGTTCTCACCCACAGTAGGCTGTTGCTGATGGTATCCGGTCAACGGACATCCAGTATCACAAGTAAACAACTGTTTATAAATGCCTGTACCCTTTTGATGATGTTTGTGGTAGTTCTCCTCTTTTCAGCCGCGTATAGTAGAACTGTCTTGACGTTCGTACTGAAAATTCCCACATTGATGTTGGTTGACAGTTATTTTGAGTTCTAAACATTCTTCAGTCATAGGAATCCGGCCCTTGCTTTGCCCTTACATCTGCCTCAGATCATCCTTGTTCATCGATGATGTTTACCAGGTACGTGAGTTTCTATATCTTCCAGAGTTTCTTCATCAAGCTTGACTGTGTCGGTGTTCTCCGTGTTGTATTTCAGGATCTTGCTTTTCCCCTTGTGTATGTTGAGGCCTACTGATGCAGAGACTGCTGCTACACTGGCAGTCTTCGCCTACATTTGTTATTGTGTATTAGATAGAAGGGCCAGGTCATCTGTGAAGTCCAAATCGTTTAGTTGCATCTAACCTGTTTATTGTATTAGCCCCCAAATGCCTTGGTACGGCAGAGAGTGGTAAGAGTCCGCTCTTCCTCTCGAAATTCTCTCATATGGCCAAGCGTATACAGCCTCTGCCAGGGAAGTCCTACGCATTGCCTTCTCGTGGCGGGGGTGTTGTTTACGAAAATGAGAGGACGAAAAGCGAATGTCCGGCTCTTTAACCGGGTTGGTGGACATGGAGAGTCCACCTAGGGAAGTTGGAAAACCCTGATTCCAAATCAATGGTGCACGTGGGCTTCAGTATCCTGAAGGAACAAATGGCGTATAAACCAATCGTTGGTCACCGGCTACCATGGGACCACATCTCCTCACGATGCTTCACTGCCTTGTGGATCAGACCTTTGGGTCGAAGGCTCCGGGTGTGGCCCCCTAAGAAAACCACCTGCTTCGGTTTGGGCACCCGGGCAGTATCACAGCTCTCACACATATCAAATGAGATTTGTGTGGCGCATATGTATTTGGTGCCTCATTGTACCAATATCTATGTGTTAAAATAAATAAATAATAAAATTGTAGTCCGTGCGTCCCCTTATATGTCGAGGTCTTGATAATCCAGTCAACTACCAGAACAAATAGAAAGTATGGGAGTAAGCAGCCTTGTCTGACTCCGGTCCTCACTTGGAATGCATCTATCAGCTGTCCTCCATGCACCACTTTGCAGTGTAGTCCGAAGTATGAATTCCGTATTATTTTGACGATCTCAGGTACACCATAGTGTCGAAAAAGGCTTCACAAGGTTCTCCTATCTACACCGCCAAACGCTTCCTCATAATCAAGGAAGTTGATGTATAGTGACTAGCTCCATGAAAATGATTGTTCGACGATAATCCGTAGTGTTGCGATTTGGTCTGTGCACGAACGATCCTTACAGAACGCGGCCTGTTGATTATTAACACATAATGAAATAATTTTCCATGTTTAAGAAAACTACGGCCAAGAAATTGTTCGATTTAAAATCAAGATTACGTGAAATGGAAGCAACAAATCTGATATTATTGTCAAAAAGTCAAATCTCTACTAACGGAATCCAAAGACTGAAATAACAGTAAGGGAAAAGTATCATAAGCTTTTATCTAACAACAACACATATTGTAAGCTAAACACAATCAATCCAGTGAAACAATACAGTTTCAATTGCATAGACTAGCAAGATTTGCTGCATAATTTGTAAAATGTTAAGTTGTTCAAAGTATTAAATTGGAACTAATAGTGCAACTTTGTGAAACTAAGATTCCTTATTAACCGGCACAAATTGCAAACCATGGTTATAGAGTGAGAAACTGAAAATTGAAAGATTGAAAAGTGAAAGTAGAACACAAAATAAAGAGATGAAGAGTTAAATGATAATTAAGAGTAAGGACTTACGTGTAACGGTAACGAGTGACGGCAATTTATGGTTTAACACTGGCCATACCGCTAAACTTAATATATTGAACGAAACGAAAGAGATTTGTGTGAAAGGAGTGACAAATAAACTTTCAAGAAGTTCTGGCTTTTTCAAATCTTGTATATTTCTTAGAGAACTTTAATGCCAATAATAGAGCTAAGAGTGCTATATTATAAGCTAATATTTCCTAATTCTTCATCGTCAATACAAGACAAGATCACTTAAAATCTTCACTACTTGTAAAAATCATCATATTATCACCATAATCCATTATGACGAATATCCGTTACAAATACCTAATTCAATTTAATTATTCATCTTACGACATTAGCCTTGATAAGACAATTCTTTTCAACTGGCATTTACTGTATGACAAAGTACGAAGAGAATATAGATATTGGTAGTGTAGCTCAAATAAGAAGTGAAAACTCACTCAACATGTCAAGGTAACAATATCGGTAGAGAAGTATCCATAATAATAAAAATCAAGTCAACAATAATAAATAATGCATTTCCACAAGTTCACTTATGACTAAAAATCAACATGTTAACTTGTATACTAAACCAACCTGGCTGTGGCAATTCTGTCGATGCCTTCCAGAGGTTCAAGGAATGTCAGATTAGCAAACATCACTTCAGGTACCCATAACCCACATATGACATGAGCCCATCGGTCATCTGTAGTCTTTTTGAAGGCACCGCCTCTATTCGGACAAAGGACACATGAAACTGGTTCACTTGGTGAATGAAGGCATTTACGACACAGCCAAGGACCTTCAGGGACATAAGGAACTCCATAACATTCCTAAAAATAAAAGTGGAACGAGTACTGGTGGTAAACATACTTTTAACTAAACGCATTACAATTCGCATGCTTGAACACTATTACATAGTATTATGATGTGGCATATTGTCCCTATATCTTAAAATATTTCAATACTTAATTTAAAGGAGTCAGGGGACGAGATGTCATTTTGTCATAATAAACCTAGTGACTATCCGCTATATGAGTATTTAGTAACGAGCCAATTTGACAACTGTAAGTGGTTAATGAGATATGTATTTATTTATTCCATTAATGTTACATATTTCCAGCAACAGCCCCAGGAACCTGAGGGAAAAATAGAGTATGAACCTACTCTCAGTTACATACTTTCAATTCATTCATTTATATAAACACAAACATTGGTACAAAGAGGCACCAAGATATATGTGCACCACATAAAGTAAACATCATTCACTTTGTGTATGAACTGAGATACTGTCTGGGTGCCCAAACCAAAGCAGGCGGTTTCTTAGTGGGCCATTCCCTGAAACTTTGATCGAGAGGTCTAGTTCACAAGTAATACGTTGGAAAAAAGGTAGGGGAGGTCAAACCAAAAGGTGACATCAGTTCATAAAGTTATTGACTGCTAATTTGATCCATACTAGTGGGTGCATACTAACTGGTTGAGGACCAGGAGATTGTCATGGTAAATGGTTGGAGACGACGAGTGGCATGATTCAGAATCAGCCACTGTAGTGCAAATATATCCTCTCTTTATTTGCTCTTAAAAATTGAGTTTCCAAATTATTTTATACCTTTGATTCTGCGAATTAATTCTTTCTTCTCGAATTATATTCTCTATACCTAACCTTTCTTTTAATATCACTGATATTACTAATTAGGTATTCGTTCTGACAATTTTGTACCGTTTTGCTTATGAGTTGTAGCAACTGGAACAAATGAACATAGGTTCAAAGCTGATTGATGACATCATAAAACGTAATTGGCATACTAACATGTTATTATGCATATTTATACGTTTCATTCCAAATAGTTAGTCAGTCAGCCAGTCAGCTACAACGTAGGACCAGGCACAATATATGCATCGGTCCAAGTTGCCATACCTCATTAACACAACAAGATGAACACCGGATTCATAAAAGTAGTTAATTCAGTTGGGGTAATATGTAAAAGAAAGATTGCAATAAGGATATAGTACAGGAAGAAAGAATTAGTTCGTAGAAGGACAGATATGAAGCGATTTTAATCTCTTAGTTTAAGGGAAGACAAAGAGTGTATACACCTACGCCATTGTGATCGATTCTGAGCCATGTCACCAAGAGTCTCCAACTATTGGTTACGACAAGCGCGCGGACCCCAACCAAGTAGTCTGCATCTACCAACATGGCTCAGACTAGAAGTTAGTGACTTCAAGCACTGATGCCACGTTTTGGTTTGGCCGCCCTTAACTTTCTTCCAATCATCTCCAGCACCGGTTAGCATTGCACGTCGTGGTAATCGGTGTTTAGGCATACGTAACACGTGGCCCAGCCATCTCAGTCGATGAAGATTCACAACCTCATCAACTGATTTACCATCATTCCCTAATACCCTGTGTCTAACCTCACTATTACTTACCCGGTGATCCCAGCAGACGCCAGCAATATTTCTAAGGCATCTGTGCTCAAATACTAGTAGCTTACGAGTATCTTCTACTCTTAGTGGCCATGTTTCGCTGTCGTAAATTAAAACACAACGGACTGCCGCGCAGTATACTCGTCCTTTTATTGATAGACGGATATCTCGCCTTCGCTATAGGTGACGTAAGTTGGCAAAGGCCAAGCGAGCTTTTCGAATCCGTGCTGAGATTTCGTCAGACACCAACCCATTAGGGCTGATCAGACTTCCAAGATAAGTGAAGTTGTCAACGCGTTCGACTACTTCACTCCCTATCCTTAGTTCAGGTGTTGACGCAGACCAGTCCTGAAGCAACAACTTGCACTTAGAGGGAGAGAAGCGCGTCCCAAACATTCTGGCATTGTTGCTTAGTGCTACCAGAAGACTCTTCATTTTATCAGCGTCTCCACCAAACAGGACTATATCATCTGCGTATTCTAAGTCGATAAGTGGACCTCCTGGAAGGAGATCAGTACCCGAGAATTCAGTAGACGAGAATGTTATTTCCATCAATAAGTCTATGATGAAGTTAAACAAAAATGGAGAAAGTGGACAGCCTTGACGGACACCACTTGAGGTTGCAAAAGTGGATGACAGTTCGCCATAAGCTCTGACTCGAATGGTAGTGGTCGAGTAAAGAGCCTTCACAAGGTTTATGTACTTCTGAGGTACGCCTTTCATTCCAAATAGTTAAGGATGGTATAAGGTTAGAAAACTAATAAGTACTGCTCCCTAATGAAGGTAAAGGAAATTTTTAAAAACAATTACGTACCTAGTTACCAGAACACATATTTGAAGCGTTCTGCAAGTTATCAAAGTAACAGTAGCACAAAGTTACCTATTCACCATTAAAGAATCACTAAAAACAGGTCCTAACGAACATCGAAAAACATCAAAAATATTTGTAAAATATGGCTAGAAAATCAAGGTTGATAACTAAGAAGCCGTCAAAAAAGTGAAGGTGCAACTTGTAATCAAATAGTTGGATGAAGATGAACATGATACAAAATTAAGAGTTCGTTATACCATGAAAATCACTGCCCTCCCCCCAAAAAAGAACATATATTCGCCACTGCTATAATGTGAGTACATGTAATTTCTTTTTTCGTATAGCTCATTGAGTATAAACTCGTTGATGCACGTTCATGAGGAAGCAATCAAATATGAGCGTATAATCTTATTCACTGAACTAAATGTCCCCAAATCATTGGATGCTTAGATAAGTTGAAGAGTATATAAACTTTAGCGAGTTAACAACAAACAAAAGGGTTTAATCGCATTAAACGCAGTGACTTTATCATAATGCAATGAAGTAGACACAGTTCTGATGAAATAAACAAAAATTTAAAATGGAAAAGGATTATAACGTACCTGATGTACGGCTAAGTTGCAAACATCACAAAATAATATAACATTCGTATTTTCGCAAGTCCCATCCTGACATACAGCACATACAGCATCTTCATCGATACCTGAATGGTTGCCGCCAATATCAGGGAAAACGTCTGTCGTCTCACAACCATTTGAAGTAAACAACCGGAATCTGGCCTTTTTTTCAAACCTGTCCATAATCCATTCCAGAGTAGATTCAGAGACAGGTGGTAAAGATAGACTATTGCGTTTAGCATTGATCCTTTTAAGCCAAAAAAGATCCTATACAGAATAAAGAGTTAATACCATATGTGACGACTAGATCAAAGTATTAAGCTTTAAAAGTCAGATATTTTATTGATACAGGTCGTCTTGACCTACGAAAGAAATGGTAACTAGGTTACCGTAAAATATCGGCAAAATCATGCAACGTTTTACAGCTTAATGTAGCTTTTTTCGGTATCAAAAATAACACTGTTTTGTAATACCACCTTATACCATGAAGCTGTACGATAGTGGTAAAGTCATTCGACTTTCAACTACTAAGAGTTAGGTTCGAGCCCTGCTTTACCTACTTCGATAGCTTCACTAGCCACACCTAGAGTGTGGCTTATACTCAATTACCTAGGGAACAAGTTGATCCCACTTTTTAATTTAAATATCATTTACACAGTTATTTGGTAATAAACCTATTTGATAGTTGAAGAGACTACGTAACTTTCTTACGTCAGTCTTATTTAAATTATGCTAGAAAGTAGGGTGATTAAAATCGCTCTATATCATTTTGTTCGGAATAATTATCTTAGCATAGTACTCATCACTGGTTAACGTAAACAATACAGCAACTTCAATAATTTATTAAGATAATATTCTAAAAATATTTACTTTAGTAAAACTAGGTCTATGTGAGATCAGATCAAGTTTACTATAAGACCGCAATTGTACACCTTATAATAGATTTGAAGGGAATTAGAATTTCTAAAACAATAACCAAGATAAACATGAGATTTCTTAAACATACAAATCAATAACTTGTGGTATAAAACAAAACGATGATCATCTCTGATATTTATTCACAAGTAAATAACAAGGTGGTTGGTATTTGTTCATATATTAGCCCGTTAAGAGGACAGATAAATAATACAGTTGACTTTGATGATATTAAAATCAACTGCGAATAACAACAGTCATAAAGGATCCCTCTTCTTATTAAGTGGTTGATATGATTTGTATCCTGATATAAAATTTTTTCATGAAAAAGTTTTTTTTGTGGATGCCGGCTCAGTGGTCCAGTAGGTTAAGCGTTCGCGCGCGAGACCGAAGGCCCTGGGTTCGAATCCCGAGAGTGAGATCGTGAATGCGCACTGCTGAGGAGTCCCACAATTGGACGAAACGGCCGTCCAGTGCTTCCAGGTTTCCAACGATGGTTTAACATCAATCGGTTCATGATCTCAATCAATAAGAGAATCAAGTAGTTGAAAAATATATGTAAATCAGTTTATGAAACCAAACGTTCCCATTAACACAAAATATATACAAATATCATATTTACCTCTTCATCTAAATCATACTCAACAACTTCATCCAATTCATCTGATGTCTTTTCAATAAAACGAATATAACTTGAACCTTCTTTTAAACGAACTGACTTTCGAATAGAAAATTCTGGATCAATTGAATAAACCGCCTTTGGTACCTCAATAACATTGTTCACTTCTATGCCATTTGTATAGAGGGAGCCTTTCCCACATAGATCAGACTGTTGTTTATCTGAAAATTGTCCTATAGTCAAACCACTCTTGTTATTCTTAATGCGACCCTTGTTTTTGTGATGAAGCATTTTACTTCTACTAGATGGCTGCTTTTTGTTAATTGGAACCCCTTCTGGTTTAGATAACACTTGCGCTGAGGTGCAGGAATCTTTGTCTTCTGCCTTGTTTGACATATTTTGCAAGCAAATGGTAAGAGGGACGCATATGTTACAGCGAAACGTGTGACCTTTGGTGGCTGGAGAAGCTTCAAAAACCACAGAAGTATGCGCATCAGTAAAAGTCATAGGGGTTTTGCTTTTTTGTCGACATAAATTTTCGGTTGGATGACCAAAAACAACTGGCGCCTTTCCAATCTTATCAGAACCATTCTCTAAAGCAGACGCACATTTAAAGTTGCTAGAAACTTCACCATTTACAAGTGGTCCAGGAATATCTATTGGAGCGGGAGGGCGGTGGAGAAGCATATGTTTTTGCATATAGTTGTATGATCTGCAAACTTTCTGGCATGTTTCTGATGGGCACACAAAGGGGGGTTTGTTGCCCTGAATTCTTGAGAGGAAGTCATCGATATCAAAGTCAACGGGATGGTAAACCATCTAGAAGGGAAAATAGCTGTTTCAAGAAACAAAAACAAACCATTGGAACATGGCACTTAACATTCCTACGAAAGCATAGGCTACTTTACGAAATTTAAACGAAAAAACAAGGGTGCATAAATGAAGGAAATGCAAAAAGAATAATAGCAATTTGTCGACAAAAAAGCAAACACTGAAAAAATGTTGAACAGCTAGGTATTCTTTGGCAATTACAAAGACGTCAAACCCCGGGTTCGAAGATTTCAAAAGTGATTTACAGTGATGTTATAACTATCAGTCCATGGATTTGTACAAATGTGTTCAATTACATACCACACCAATTGAGATCTAAAACCACTGACGTTTCAGACAAAACAGAACATTCACGATGCTTATATAACTACAAGACTTAAATCCCCAACCAGTGCCTCGGTGAACCGTTTTGATTAATCTATCTATTGACTTGCGTCAACGCCTGAAATAACGAGTGAAGTGGTTGGATACATCGGTCAACTCATCTATTTCGGGAGTTTCATCGGTCCTGATGCTCTGGTATCTGACGAAATCTCGGCAAAGATTCAGAAGTGTCGACTGCCTTCCGTCGACTCGCGTTACTTGTAACCTAGGTGAGATATCCGTCTTACAACCAAAGAAAGACTTTACTGCGCAGCAGTTTGCTCCATCCTATTTTACGGGTGTGAAACATGCACATTAGGGATGGATGCTATTTGTAGGTTACTAGTATTCAATTGTAGGTGTCTTAGGAGAATCGCTTGTGTATTATGGGATCACAGAGTAAGCAATGTCTGGGGTTAGAAATGGAGTACTAGGTGAGGATGACAAATCGATTAATGAGGATGTAAATCTTCATGAAGTCACTGAAATTGGACTTAGCCATTTTAATAGGTGTAGATTACCTGATTGGAGTCCGCGTGATTATCGTTACCAATAGTCAGAGGCTTTGAATGACATGACTCAAAATCGTTTGCAATGGCGCAGGTGCATGCATTCTTTATCTTTCTCCAAATTCTAATATTTTGAATTCTTCATAACTGTTTTTGTGTTTTTAACTCACTGATTTATAATTTCTTGAATCGTATCATTGATATTTAGTCTTTCCAATCAACATTCATACTGTTACCACCTCTACTATTCAGGGATTCGGTGTGACACTTTCATCTGTGCTAATGATGTATGGCTACTTGAACTGATGTACATACGTGCCAGGTTCTACGTTGTTACTGGCTGAACCTATTTCTACTTCTTATCTTATACGGTCATACGTCAATCAGTATGAAAAACCAAGAAAAACAGCAACTCGAAGTGCACAGTATATGCGAGGCTTTCAGACCTATACTGAGACAAGATGACAAGATGATCGGGGTTGATGTGACAGCCTAGGCAAACAAATATACATGTTCCATACACCAAGGTTTCTTGATAGACTTTAAAAAGAAGGAACAATGAGGTTTTCAGACCTTGTTCTTGCTCTATTTAAATACAAATATCGTAAGATCTTGTAGGTAAGTATATTGGTTCGTAATACCGCACTTGGAAACAGCGAAGAAGGAAAGTAAAGAAATGGAGATAACAGTGCTAACAGTAGTTGAACAGCGAAGATAGAGAATAAGGTAGAAAATATGGAGAAACTCAATAATTTCAACTACAAGCACCAGGACCTTGTATAAGTTCCCATCAGAAGACAAACAATGGATGTATTTGGTCAAAGCAGCCAATCGTGAGTAACGCTCCTCGAGGTCACCAAAAATAGACCATCATTATTTGAATGAATCTATCCAGGTTTTAAAGTTAGTGAAATGGTTTTTACAATGGGATAATGAACTTTACATTACTAAACTAGGTGTTGGTATACGTGAATTGGGGGATGGCAGTATTGGATAATCTCGCGACTAACATCCATATTTTCAGATATCAAAAACGGAATGACCGCCTGCCGTTATAATCACTGAAAGAGATCATATTGACGATATTTCGAAAAAACAGTTCTGCACTTAATGTTAGGTTGAAAATCCTTCAAGAACAACCGCCTTTGTACACGTTATGAAAAGAACAAGTAAGCACTTTTCTTGTCAAGGCCCTTCAGAAACGAGGGCACATTCTTTGACTTTTGATGGAAACAGCTATCTACTGTAAATGCAGCTATCAACATAAAAAGCCATCTTCAAAATATTACGAAGTCCAAGGACAGTTTAAACTATCCGAGACAGTAATAACCACGGAATCGATCACGCAAAGTAAAACGACCAGCAAAAAACGAACATCTTATTTCTAGATCTTAATCACCAAGGAGTAATCTCCTGTTACTAAACATATTTAGGTACTAATCCAAAACTTCGTATTTAAATCACATTTTGAGTCTAATCTCTTCAAACCTATGGTATCGGATGGATGGCAAGGATTAGAGTCAATGATGATTTACGCTTTTTACACCTGAATCTGGTCATGAACGATATAAGCTTTAAGAACTGACCTTTCAAATCCCATGGAACCATATGTTCAATAAGTACAGTATAAGTTCATAAATACCGCTTCTGAAGAGAAAAGTAACTTTCCAATATACATTGTTTATGCAACGAATAGTTGTACATCAAATAAGAAGAGCCATTGCTTATCAAACTCCTTATTTATTGCTGATGCTTTAACAATTGATTATTTAAGATAAAAACCTGGTGTCTGGTAGATAAGACCTAGTGAAATGGCTCAATGACCGGGAATATTTTGTATATTCGTCGAGAGACTGATAATCAGACTCTGGGAATGGAGTGAAAATACCCAATCAAACAGTCTAACTTTTTGATCTAGTTGTTCTGAACCCTACTGTATTCATTGAAAATATTTTCAATAAGAGCATATGCCCTTATACTGTTCATTAATTTAACTCAATCAATGGTCTTATGGACGTTGTAGATCACCAACAAAGATGATCTATGTCGAAATGATTGGAGGCCTACTCGAGTTAGCCATGAATGGTGTGACAAACTAGCTAATGTCGAAGTCACACCTTGTGGTCAGCACCTTACGTGGACTACCCCATTGACGTATCACAGTACCATAGATGCTTTGAAGACTGTACAACACAGAGGACGTTATCACAGAAATATATTAGTTAAGGTAGATGCAGGCGAAAGTAAGACCACTGCCGCATGGGCCAGTCCACGACGTATGATTAACTAATGCGCGTTGCTTGTACATGACCTTGGCAGGGAGCGACAATCTGTTCGACATTCAGTGATCCAACTGCCGGATGATTTGGCTAGGGCTCAGTGACATTTCACTGGCCCTACAATACTCCCCCACTAGATTCAGCGGCCGTTTGAATCGGTACCAAACATGTTGGGAGCAGTCGCGCGCCGGAGAGTGCCAAACGAATATTATAAATCCTCCAGGTATTGCTTATCTGTAAAACAAATGGAAAGGAGGCGGCAGAAACTGGTCGCGAAACAGCGAGTCATAATATGTTAGTAGGACGTTGCTTAAACGTAAATTGATTAACCATAGAAATAATGAAAAGAACAAAGCGTTTAATTGTTCTATCAAGTCGCGCTGAAATATATAGCTTTGACAAGCAATTCAGTTCCTCCGATGACAAACGTTAAGTCTGTCGCAAGAGTAATGATGGTATAGCGATAGTAGGATAAGTGTATTATCAATCGATGTCCTTGTTTGTACTGTCATTAGTTTAAATTTGTAAGTCGGACAGTGTCGTTGACAGCTATTAATTAGTGTCAAATTCTAGTTATATCTATATCTAACAGACTAACCGTAAGTACAGAAGTATAACCGTGAAGAGTGGTCGTGATTTCGTTGTGCGAATCTATTGACCAACTTGTAGTCGCAGTTTGAAAAGTCGATGACTGCTGCTACAGTCAGTAAGGGTTGAAGGCTACAAATCGACAGCAAAGGTGGCACGATGAAGTCTCTAAAAGATGATAAACGGTGAATGCTGCGTGTTTGTTCGGTTAGTGAACAGAAAAATATCGAAAAGAACATAACAAACCAAGAGTATCACTCTGGACTCATGTCAATGATACCCGTGAAAAACGCTGTCAGTGTTGGGATAGAGGCGACAATATCGTTTTCAGTTTGCAGGAGATTCGCTCGACTGTATAAACTGATGATTCGCGCGAATGATATTGTCGTCAGACCACCAATTGAACTGGACAGGTTGTAAATCGTCGAGTAGTTGAACAGCCGATTGATGTACCGAAATCATCCGTGAGATAACAGCCACGAGGAAACAATACTTCATAAAATAAAGTACGACGTCGAAGTAGAATAACTACAATAGTTCTGATGTATTATAAAGTCAAATTTAAATAACATCGTTCTTACGTATACTAACAATTGCACTGAACGGTCGTTTAAGTATTATTAGCGTAACAGTTGGATGTGTGAATAAAAACATATACGAAAACTATGGTTGGGTTCGTGGAGAATTTTCGAGGACGTTTAGATATTTTCCAAACCCGTATTGTATACAAATATACCGAAAATGGAATTGGAATGACTGTCGTATAATAAGAAAATCGAGCCATGACTTACCGTGTGAAATAATGGCAAATACAAGGGGTATAGTAAACATTAATTAAAATGGTAACCACCAATGTCACTAAGGTTTTGAGGATCCAGGTAACGTGGCCATTTCGTAAAAGGCTGATACAAAGAGCTTATTACCTAGCGTTAAGTGACATATTAAGTACGACAACGTGTGTACTTGGGACATGAACTAAACGTGCTCGTGTACATGCAATATGTTTTACCACAGTATATCGACTAACGAGTCATAAATGTACATGATTTCGACTAAAAGTTGACGGCAGTGACAGAATATATGACTACTTTACGTGAAAGCAACTACGAAATGTTATCACGCATCATAAATATAGTACGAAATAATCTAATGAAATTATGAAACTCGCCTGGGTTACTCTTGCCTCTAAGTAATGAAGATATGAAGTAGGCAGTAGTTTGAATCTGGATTATGTACGAGGTACAGTTGATTAAATTTTTCGATTAACACAGCGTTGTAGATTGAATTTATATAAGTCCAGAATTAATGTAAGCCGAATACATAGCATTACCTAAGAACAGTCTAAACGAGATCTAAGATCGCAGGAAATTTATAGTTCAGACTCACCGTAAATTTCTAGCATTCGTATCCTCTGTTTGGCCATGGAACTCAGCAATTGGAAATTAGACAGGCGGTGGTCAGAAAGAAAGTAAAACAGTCTAGTGGATAGTGGTTAAGCAGAATGATGAATTTATAGTCGACAGTTAATCTTGTCTCGCTTATACCGGTGGATAAGTTACAGAGATATGCGTTCGTGTTGCCTTGTGGCTATACTCACGAGTGGTTGATATTTTAACAGACATATTACACAGGAGCATTTACATGCTGCTAATGCTTGTTAAAGAACCACGATAGCCGATTATAATCGTAGTTGATTGGTTAGTTCTGTCGACTGAACGAATTATTTAGGTTTAAATGCTAATCAACATTGACAAGAAGCAACGAAAGTTCACAGTAACAGATTAACATAGACGATGATAAAAAAGGAAAAAGAATATGTATAGAATACAATAATAAAGATCATAGTGATAGGTTGCGTTATTCGAAGTCTCGCTCACCAGTGTAGATCACCAACGAAGATGATCTGTGTCGAAATGATTGGAGGCCTACTCGAGTTAGCCATGAATGGTGTGACAAACTAGCTAATGTCGAAGTCACACCTTGTGGTCAGCACCTTACGTGGACTACCCCATTGACGTATCACGGTACCATAGATGCTTTGAAGACTGTACAACACAGAGGACGTTATCACAGAAATATATTAGTTAAGGTAGATGCAGGCGAAAGTAAGACCACTGCCGCATGGGCCAGTCCACGACGTATGATTAACTAATGCGCGTTGCTTGTACATGACCTTGGCAGGGAGCGACAATCTGTTCGACATTCAGTGATCCAACTGCCGGATGATTTGGCTAGGGCTCAGTGACATTTCACTGGCCCTACAACGTCATTTTATAACTCTGTAAGACAAATTCCGAGCTAGTCAGAAACGGTACCAGGAACATACTTTAAAGCTGGAGAACGCGATTCCCCTGACATTACAGATGCATCTTTTCAAATTCTTGCACCTAACTATAGTCGTTGGGAGCCTTTCTGCAGCCAGAAATAAATGTCACATTTCCCCTGATATTAAAGACTGATGATCTCACAAGAAAATACTTGGAAAAGTTTCCTCAAAATCAAATAGAGAAAAATGAATTATCAGCCTCGTTTAACTGAGCCTATGAAATACAAAATTAGACTTTTGTACACCATCATAAAAAGAAAGTCACATTTCAAGATAGACCTTCTGAATCAGGATTTTACAAGCATACAGAACTCCCAAACTCTAGCTTTTTAAGTGGTTGGCTAAGGTTTCCGAACCTGGTTGCTCCTAATGAGGCGTATTAGTACCTATGGGTCTCTCCCCTAACCTATTTTATATTAATCGCAGCGGTTGAGATTTTTGATCTTTTTGGACCAAAGAGGTCCTGAAACAGTTTAACCCTTAAAAATATACATGAATCGATGGCATCCAAACTAGGTTCTGGAAAGAATGTACAGACTTGCTTCACTCCTACTGCTTCAAATGGTTCATTTCCTAGGCCAAACTGCCCTCTGAAAAGGAAAAAGTTGTAAATGTAACTTCATGTATGAGGCAAGAAGGTTGTACTTATCAACCATGGGCTTTTTGCTACATATAGTTATGAAGGCCATAGAATCTCAAAAATAAATCACATAAACTTAACATGTTGGTCAGATGGGATAGCTGGACATCATCATCCTGAGCATCTATGACGCCCCGTTTCTCAAGGGGGTTAGACATAGTCAGTCATAAAATTCTGCATTTGGAACTAAAACCACTAGCTAAATGTGTTTGCTCCGTATTTTTGGTTTGATTTATATTGTAATGTAGGTACTGTGTGGTCGGTGGAATATTATTATTATTATTCACAAACATATGTGTACATTGGTGTTTTGAAGTAACCTTTCGCGTTTCTTCAAAAAGTGTAATGATACACAGGTTTCAATAATGTAAGCATTATGTTTTTCATATTTGAAAAAGAGGAAAAATCATAACAATGATGATAGAATAATAGTGGTAAACCAGGTTTTATGTAATTGATAAGAATACTGAGTTGACTTTAAGGAAGGAAAAGGAGAAGATAAGAGAATAGAAATAATGGAGACGTGAAATACACAGATAGTTTATTAAGCGTGTTTATGATCACAGAACAAGAATAAACGACTATTCATGTATTGTCAAATTAGTAACAAAAATAAAATAGAGAATAATTAAGAAAGAATAACTTGTCATTGCAGTGAGATATTATGTTAGAATAAATGTTTGTGCAACCATTGTTTGGAGTGATGCTATAGAAGTCTCAAATAAGTGAAAATGTATAACCAAATATCAGTAGGTGTGAGTCATATATGCACGTTCTTTCTAACATTACTTTCAAACTCACTGGGATATAACAAAAAATATATTTATT